GAATGTAGAATGGTACAGATGCTTGAAATCTGAATTTAAAACAGAAAAATCCTGAAAGTATTCAGACACATGCTGCCTGATCTGTTGAATATTTCAGCATTTTCCGTTTTTATTTCAGGTTTCCAGCATCTCCAATACTCAGATTTTTGATGGAAAAATGGAATCTGTTTCATATCCAACTTGAATCGGGTAGCCAAAACTTGTACCCAGCATTGTGTTTGAAAGTGAGGAATTGCTGCCCAACAACATGAATACAGTGTACGTACAGTGTTGAGAAAGGAGCACCACTGCTAGCCCACGTCCTATAGTGCAGAGTATGATTTTAATGACAAGCGCATTAGTACATTCAATATTAGTATACTCAGCATTTTACAAATACTTTCATTTCTGAATTGTGTTTGGAGCTGGACCGTATCAGCTGATACAGCAGATGTTATGTTTATTTTGCTGTCAGAAGGTAACTGTTGCTATTTAGTTAGAAATCATCTAATCCGTTGACAGAGACTTGCTGACCCACTGCAGTGCCAATTGTGGGATAAAGTTGTCAGTGCTGTTGTTGGTGCGGTGAAGCACATCCTCCCAGGTTCAGTGTTAGATCTCTGAATGTGTCAAGAGACAGCTGAGAGTCCAATTAAATATTAAGGGAAGGATTTGTAGTGTAGCTGTCCCGAATTGGACAGCTTGTCAATGCAATAGAAAATAAAGGTTGGTAAAATATTGAAGTCCTGCCACTAAATCTTACTAGCATCTTATATAAAACCTCATATCATTGAATCACAAGATAGATATGGATGAGGACACTTTTTGACTGAATGTAACTCATCTATCCACTGGAAACCCAATCCTCCTTCATAACACTTATCACAGTCACAGCTTCTAATCTTCATAGCTTTGGAAGTGGGGCCAGAGGAATTCAGGTGTACAAATAATATACAGCCTTCAAAACAAGAGGGAGTGGTCAGTTACAGCCTAGTGAGTCAAACATTGGTTCAACTGAGAAATGTTTGGAAATATGAATGCAATGTACTTGGAAAATCTGAAAACCAGCCAGTTTATGGCAGAAATGATGTTTGAAGAACTGGATTGAATAATTTGACAAAGTAATGGAGAGGAAGGATAATCATACAGTTGATGTTGTCTTGATGGCCTTTCAAAACAAATCTGATGAAGTACGTCTTGGTAGATTTGTCATCAAAATTGAAGTCCATAAAGAAAACCAAAGGGAGATGTCTGTGTGAACACAATATTGGTTAAAGGACCCATAGCAAAGAGAGAAATGTTGGTTGTTTTAAGGCTGGAAGGAGGTGTGCACTAGTGTCTTACAGGGATTGGTGTTCAGATCACTGTTGTCCTTTTTATGTTTTAATACATGGATGGCACAAAACTTGGACATATGGTAAATATAGGAGGATAGGAACAGACTTCGGCAGGAGTGGAATGCTCCATCTTCGGAGCAGGAGCAGATGTGGCGGAGGTGTAGGAATTGGGAGTAGGGGATCTCATTCTTGCAAGAGGGTGGTTGAAAGGAGATGTAGTCAAGGTAGCTGTGGGAGTCAGTGGGTTTGAAATAGATCATAGAAATCCCTACAGTGTGGAAACAGGCATTTTGGCCCAACAAGTCCACACCGAACCTCAGAGCATCACACCCAGACTCATCCCCCTAATCTACACATGCTATGGGCAATTTAGCATGGCCAATTCACCTAACCCGCACATCTTTGGACTATGGGAGGAAACCGGAGCACCCTGAGGAAACCCACGCAGACACTGGGAGAATGGGCAAACTCCACACAGACAGTCGCCTGAGGCTGGAATTGAACCCGGGTCCCTGGCACTGTGAGGCAGCAGTGCTAACCACTGAGCCATGTGCTGCCCGAAATGTCGGTGCTGAGATGGTTACCTGGAGATGGTGACAGAGAGGTCCAGGAAGGGGAGGGAGGTATTGGAGATGGTCCAGGTGAATTTGAGGTTGGGACAAACTGTTCAAGCTTCTCATGGGAGCACGAGGCAGCACTGATACAGTCGTCAATGTAGTGGAGGAAGAGGTGAGGGATGGTGCCAGTGTAAATAGGCAGCAAGATTTCCCAGACAATGGAGACCATTTTGATTAGTGAGATAAGAGGTGACCCCCTCCACCCCCGCCCCCAAACCCCTGGCAAATATTAAAGAAGTATTCAAATTCCTCCCCAGTGTTTCTTTGGCTTTTGGCAACAGTGGGAAGCTAACAGTGCGGCATCAATTAACCAGCCTTTTCTTTTAAGATTGTGACATTTTTCTGAGGCATACCAGAGATCCACTACATCTGCAATTCATCCTCTCATTAGAGGTGAGCACAGCAGGAGAATGGGCTACCATGGAATTAATATGCAGTTATCTTTAAATTAACACATGGACTTGTGGTTTCATGTCAAATTGTTACCCCTGTACAATGAAAATCCACCTGATAGATCTAGGTGTTTTAGATTCATCTTCCAGCTCTAGAATTCATCATGTGCTTCAAGCTTGCCATGACTGACCTGGCTGTGGTCTCAGCTCCACTTTCCTGCAAATCTTGCACACCCCCTACCCTGCAATCCCCCAAATCCTTGACTCGCTTGTCCATTAAAAATGTACATGACTCTGTCTTGAATAAATATGAACACCCAGTCTCTACTATCCCCTGGGGAAAAGGCTTCCACATGCTAATAAACCTCTGGAGGAGAAACAAAAACACCTCATCTGTCTTAAAATGAAAATCTCTTATTCTTAGACTAGATCCAGTAGTTTTGGTCTCTCCCACAAGAAGAAACATCTTCCTGTTATCCAATCTATCCAGCCTTCGAGTCATACAGCACGGAAACAGACCGAACGTTTGACATACTTCAATAAGATCACCTTGCATTCTCTTAAACTCCAATGGGTGTAAGTCATGCCTGCTAAACGTTTCTTCACAAAATAAGCCTTTCTTCCCAGAAATGAATCAAACTAACCTCCTCCTTCCAATGGCTACTAAAGCAATTGTCTTTTTTTTATTCAAATAAGGAAACTAAAAATATAAGCTGTACTCCAGATGTGATCTCACCTATGCACTTGTACAGCTACAGTAAAGCTTCTGGACGTTTACATTCCATTCCTTTTGCAATAATAAACAGCAATCACTCAACAGTGAGCTTTGCTTGCATTATTGGTTAGTGGGTAGGCTTCCTGTATAATTAAGGCTGGTGGGTGGGCTACCAAAGCCATGGGTCCCATAGGAGACATTCTGGCTTGGAAGTAACTGCATTACTGCAGGTTTGGGGAGCTGAGGAAAGGATAGAATGTGTGCATCTTGAACCACCCTCTCAGTGCTTCTAAAATGTTAAAAATGAAAATGCCATAACTGGTTACTGCCGTGAACTACCCACAGATTGTAGGGGTGAGAGGAAATCTTTGAATCAGTCTGGAATGCTAACTGCCTTCCTCCATCTACCACTGGGAGGTCACTTGCAGGCAGATCCCATGTGAAACTACAGTGCAAGGCCGACAGGCTGACTGGGAGCTTCCAGTCGGTCTCTGATCATTGATAAGCCATTATTACTTCAATTGCCCCCCTGCTTCGGAGACGGTTATTCATTCCACCCTGATCTGACCTTTGTGACAATAGTCTAGTGGTTATGATACAGCCGACAAATTTGCTGATCAGCGAGATAGATTTATTACTCCCATATTAGGGCCAAAATTCTGCTGATGGTTTTACTTGATGTAACATCTGTGGTTTATCTTTTCTGTACCAGTTAATTCCTTGGACATCCATTGAGATCCCTAATCAATCACCTCATTGAAAGGAAGAGTATATTGTGGAATGATGTTCAATATTTTTGAAACTGTGGTAGGATTCTTAGACCTGTTTCTTATTTGAGAATTTAATACACAGTTTCACACCATAAACGTACCTAAAAGTCATGGAGTCATGCAGCATGGAAACAGACCCTTCAGTCCAACGCCAACCAGACATCCCAATCTGATCTAGTCCCATTTACTAGCACTTAGCCCGTATCCCTCTAAATCTTTCCTATTCGTGGACCCGTCCAGATGCCTTTTAAATGTTTTAATTGTACCAGCTTCCACCTCTTCCTATACCAGCTCATTTCATTCAAGCACCACCCCCTGATTGAAAAAGTTACCCCTCAGATCCCTTTAAAATCTTGTCCCTCTCCCCTTAAATCTAGTTTGGGATTCCCCTACCCTGGGAAAAAGACCTTGGCCATTCACCTCATCCATGCCCCTCATGACTTTACAAACCTCTGTAAGGTCACCCCTCAGCCTCCGCTCCAGGGAAAATAGCCCCAGTCTATTCACCCTCTTCCGATAGCTCAAACCCTCCAGTCCCAGCAACATCATTGTAAATCATTCCTGTACCATCTCAAGTTTAACAACGTCCTTCCTGTAGAAGGGTGACCAGAATTGAAGGCAGTGTTCTAAAATATTCTCACAAAACATCATCTTCACCATGTTGTCTACTTGTGACTCCACTTTCAAGGAGCAATGCGGCCGCACCACTAGGTGTCTTTGTTTGGCAACACTGTCCAGAGCCCTACCATTAATTGTGTAAAGGTAAAATCAGAAGTCAAGGTGACTGTACTTGACTGAGCTTATAGCCTGTGTAAATTGGTGAAGACTGTGTTATCTATGAACTGTGCTACTCTTTCTGCAAAAAAACATGATTGGAGCATCATACAGCGTTATGGAACTTGAAATGGTGATTACTGTCACTAACTTGAGATTCAGATGTAATGGGAGCATGTTTCTGGAACTTAATAATTTTTGTGTAAAAATGACGTAATTTACTTTTGTTTGCTGTGTTCGTCTAACAGTTTTGTGGCATTTCTCACTGAAGTTAAACGAGTTGAAGAGCTGCTCAATAATATGTTTTTCCCCAGGTGATATAAGACCTGTTTGCTCCTGTATTCTCATACGTTTCAATTGGGAAATGTGTTTTACTGATGCTCTAACCATGCTACTTTTGTATTCTCTTCTTTCAGTGCCACCTGCTATCCCATCGTGTAGACTTCAAGGAACTGTTGATGCTGGAAATGATGTCACACTCACTTGTAGGTCGAAAGAAGCTATCCCCATCCCAGCGTATTCCTGGGAAAAACTGGATTCATTTGATAAATTACCACCAACGTCAGTCCAGGGTAATGTACATGGATATCAGTATTTGCCACGTTAGATCTTTTCTCTTTGATTTTTTTTGTACTGTTGTGAGTCTGAATCTTTAAAAAAAAACTAGTTGGTCTTGTGGCTTTGTAGATGCTAAATGAACAATTTCTTGCTGTATGTCATAAAATCTGATTATTCGTTTCAATTAAAGGGACAACACTGTCAGAAATAGAGAAGTCTGGTTCTCAAAGTCAAGCTGCAATGTTACATCATTATTCCTAGCTTATAGCAGTGGCTGATAGGAGTCTATCAATTAAATCAATAGCAATGATGGTGCTTTCATTGTAATTACCATGAAATAGTTGTCTCATTTATATAAGGAGACCTAGAAATGCTTTTATGGAGAAGAAGTTTGTTTTTGAAATGCTACATGGGAAATATTGATAAAAATAAATGCAGTGCGTTAGTACAACAGTGGCATTGAACCGTAAATTTTTGCAAATGGGAACAAGAGAAATGACAGAGATTAATGCGAAAGTCATGACTGGGGGAAATAAAGATCAGACGGCATTAATCAAAGGAATAGTGAAATAGATTGGCGTAAAATGTCAGGAGATTATAGTGAATAGCGATAGACCAGGATACTATTCTTAGGCAGGAGTCATATAATGCAGCAGATATAGATTACAACATTGAGATGCTACATTGGCATGGGACATCGCTGTTCACCTCTGCAGACCTCTCGATGCTTGCTGCTACGGATGACAAATGAAGAGAACTCCTGCAGTCTGCGGTCCTTTCTACAGTGGAAGTGGGTTTGCAAGCAGAACATTTATATCTTGAACGAGTGCTGTCACCTCTGGCAGCACTGTGCTGAATGTTTGGTGGAAAAAAAATCAACATTTTTATGAAAGCAGAATAATTCTGTGACAGTAGATGGGGCACCTAGAATTATGCCACCATTAGTGCAAGCCAAACATGAGGAATATAGAAACATTAGCAAGTTTGGAATGAGAAAAAGGTCATTTGGCACATTAAGCCCACTATTTGCAATGCATCATGTGCAATTCATGCTGTCATGGACTCAATACAACTTATTTAATCTCTCGAGAAAAAGAAATAACTACAGGGAAAAGCAAAAGTGCAAAACTGTTTGAAATTTTCTCTCAAAGAATATCTGGTGAAATTGTATGATATTACCCTAATGTGTTACAATCTATAATATTCACCTGCTGTGTTTTATTGTTTGACAGTTTTATGGTGCTGGTTGCCTGAAGCCATGATGCAGCATAGAATATTTGGTCTCCTATATTAATGGTTATTCTAATTGCCTGTTTGGAAACCTGTTACTTATCCCTTGCCTATTCAAATATCTTAATTTAAATTATGTTAAGGGAAATTGTTATTTTAGGAAGAAAAAATGTTGACAGACCTGTGTAATTTTAATAATGGCACACCACACATGAAATGCAACTACGCTGAATGAATGCTTAGCATTCTCATGATGTAAATCATTGGGCTGAAAGTGTACCATGTAATATGACAAGTGCAGATCAAATTAGTAACCATTTAGAAAGGCAGGGATTAATCCAAGGATGGCCACAATGGACTTGGCAAAGGCAATGCTGTTTTAAAAAGTGCAATAGATTTTTGATGACAATATCAACTGGAAGTAAGAGAATGTAGTAAAAATCATGAATATGGATGTTTAGACTCTGTTTAAGCTGTCTGATATGAAGCTACAGATATAGGATACAAGAGTGAGGGAAGAAAGAATGGGAGAAAGTTCATGTAACAGGGCCTTGTATAGCTTTGTCACAGGCAGAGTTGAGACAAAAGGGAATTGTATCTAGTAAGGGAAAACTAACTAAACATGAAGCAGAGAGTTATGGGGAAAGAAGTAGGGCACTGCAGTTATCTTTGAATTGCTTTTGCAAAGTACGACAGGCTGAAGGGACTGTTTCTACAACAGAAACTTCTGTGATTCAGTGGTTTCACATATTAAACCTTGCTTCAGATATTGCGGGAATTTTTGGCATCTGTGACCCTTGTCAGCAGACAGCAACCAAATGGGGATCTTCAGTGTGTTTAAAAAAGCCTTTATTGCAACCTATAGCAAGGGCCCCGTTGCACACTGGAGGCCCAGAAGAAAGGGTTACAATGTCAGTTATACTCTTGGATTCAGTTACAAGAAATTAACACACACCAATTAAAAGGTGTACCATTATCTACATCCAATCATTACTATCAATTAGGTTTGTATCATGCATAGCATGAGAGTACAACTAACCAATCAGAACATGGCTGTGCCTATCTGACTAACATACAATCAGTGTGAAGGCATGACCATATTATCAAATCTAATTTTACTATTGCTGCAATTTGTTCTTAACATGATTAATGTCTGGCTTGTGTATATCAGTTGTCTTCCCCCATCAAATGCACCTCGTGTTTTAATGACTTCTTTCGGGGTACAGATGTTTCAATGAATATGTAACCCCTTTCTTTGTGGGCCTGTGAACATTATCACTTCTTTGCTGTTTTACAGACAAGTTGGCAGCAGAGCAAATGGTAGGGTAATCCCACATTATCTTCTCATGGCCTTAAAATTAGTTCCATATTGCTTATAGTCTCTGAGCCGAATACTTATGGTGTCCCTTCTTGGGAACTAGCAACTTGCAGTTTGGTGTCCTTGTGTGTTTATTAACAGCTAGCAGCTTGCAACTGTGTGCCCTAAAATATAACTGCAAGATTTTTACTAACCCTCTCAGATGTTATTTTCTGTTAACTGCATAAAAAATCTGAATTAATGACCTTATTAAAGCAGAAAGTTCCTCCAGCTACGTTAACATGTTGTCATGATATTGTAAGGGGAGTTTTCATTGTTATCTTCACTGTTGATTAATGTAAGTTGCATAATTACATATGCAGTATTTCTGATGCTGACGACCATTTGTCAGCCACTTTCAGAGTTTGTTGTGCTTGATTTTACTCGTGAGGCAAAAACTCACTAGACTTTGGGGCCCAGAGGCTAAGCATGGGGGGGACAAGGCTGAGGAATGAAAACAAGTGGGAGGAATTGAGCTGCAAATCCAATTCTCTTCCTGCCTCCTCCTGAGTCATGATGCAAAGTCGTGTGGGTGGCTTTCCCACCTGAAGGGCACTTGAAGCCCTTGACTGATGTTAGTCCTATTCAAGCCGCAGTATGCAGGGATACTCCATTCAGGACAGCACCAAACAAACATGCCTGTGACTTAATAGGAGTTCCCTTGTTCAAAGGCACTTGGTGTCCAATTTGAAGTAACTGGTGTTGGGAAGGCGTGGGGCTACAGCAATCCATTATCTCCCCTTCCTTGCTGCCAATTGTCCTCTTTCCATCATGCTGACATCTGCAGGGGAACAAGCACTAATCCTCTATGGAGGCTCAGTGCAATATTGGCGGTGGTCACTGATCTTCGAGGTGCTGCCACCCTATGATTGAGCAGCAGTTTTTTGTTGGAGGGGTGGATGTGAACGATTTAAAAAAAAAAAATCCAAATAAGGCCTTAATTCAGTGGAGGCCTGACACTGTCTTAATGAGTGGCCAATTGTCACTGAATAGTGTTAGGTCTCCGTGGAAAGCCAGTGCAGGATTAGCAACAATTCTTCAACTAGTGGGCAAGACCAGTGTCTCTGCTATAACAAGGTGTAGAGCTGGATGTACACAGCAGGCCAAGCTGCATCAGAGGAGCAGGAAAGCTGATGTTTCGGGCCTAGACCCTTCTTCAGAAATGTCTCTGCTACTGAGTTTGGCCCTAACTCTCACTACAGCACTAGCCAAGAAACAATGTGGCTCATTTTTGCATCCACTAAAGTGGAAATGTTTGTTTTCTCAGTTTGTGAAAGCACTTAATTGTGGACAACTGATACCACTTAAAAAAAGATGGATACTTTGAGTGGCTAGTTTCCCAATATATTAACAGGAGTTTAGGACTAAGTTACCCATGGAAATTAAGATGAAGGCAGGTAATAACTGACATTATAACACCATCATCATCCCTCCCAAAAATTAAATAACTTTATTTTTCTGCCTCCTGCTAGTGATTTTTTTTTTCAATTGAAGACTAGATAACCTTATCGAAGGAGTTGACTTGGAACAGTTGCTAAACCTGATGGTGCAAAATAAGACTCAATTAATGCACGGTCAAAAGGATAATAATCAGTGAATCGCTGCGGGTAAATTACTTGATATAATAATGTCAGCTTCATGATGTATCAGTCTCCTCTGAGATTCTGATAATATCGCTGGAGTTCACTGTTTAAAAAACTTGTTCAAACTGAAAAGAATCAAAAATTGGCAGAAATGCATCATCAATAATAAAATATCCTCCTTCAATTTTGATCCTCTTGCATTTGGTTTTAATATTTTTATCTTTCTAATTTTCAAGAGGTTTATCCTTAAAATAATATTCGTAGGTTTAGTCTTCCCCCACCCAGAATACATTGTGCCCACACCACCTTCAGTGCTTCCTTCGAGTAGCCGCTGACATGGAGGAGTACAAAGTCATCAGCTGAAGGGAAGGGTACATGTCAATCAGCAGGAGGTTTCCTCATTCATGTTTGACCTGATACCATGAGACTTCATATAGTGCGGAGTCCCAACTGTATCTTACTGTACCACCACCCCTGCCAGTGAATGATGGTAGTATCTGGGACATTGTCTGTATATTTCTGCGGGTATGACTATTTCAGGCTGTTGCTTGACTGGTCTGTGGGCTGCTGTCTCAATTTTATCACTAGTCCCCAAATGTTAGTAAAGAGGAGTTTGCAGATTTGACAGGGCTGAGTTTGCTGTTGCCGTTTCCGGTATCAGCTGGTTTGTCTGATTTCATTGCTTTATTTGAGACTTGCTAGTGATTGATGCAACTGAATGGCCTGCTAGGGCATTTCAGAGGGCAGCTAAGAATCAACCATATTGCTGCAGATCTGGAGTCACATGTAGGCTAGTGCAAGTAAAGATGGCAGATTTCTTTCCCTAAAGGGCATTACTGAACCAGGTGGATTTTTACAATAATTGACAGTGGTACAAGGTCATCATTAACCTTTTAAATTTCACATTTTATTGAATTCAAATTCTACAGTCTACCATGAGAGAATAGAATCAAAATGATTGCATATAACCAAACCACAACTTACAACCAATATGTAGCTTCTTCCTCGTTATTCATAACCTTGGTTAAAGGTCATCAAGTTTTAAATTAAAGTTTCTTTGCCAATATTGTTGACTGCTGTAGTTATCAAGAGTCTTTATAATTTCATTGTCTGTGGAAACCAGAACAGTCATTCAGGCCAATGTTTTGAATCAGGCAAAACCTTCAAAAACTTTCCAAAAACCAATGGATTATTAAAACAAATTATGCCACTGGAAGTACAATCAACTGCAGGCTTGTGTAGCTTCAATAGTGAACTGTATATACATTCACTCATATTTGCAAGACGTATATGATGAAATATAGCCTGGAATTAACTGGAAACATAGTAAATGGAAATTTCCAGTTGTCTTTTGAGGTTAGCCATTGAAAACTACTAGTAGACCTTGACCAAAGAACTCTCAGGGCTCTGGACCCACAATCTGACATCCCTTACCCCAAGATCAATTAAAAGACAAACATGTAGTGGAAATACAAAAATTACAGGCCTTTGGAATATTTACGTCTGCATTAATAAAATTAACATAAATAAACCATACTTCCTAAAACTGCAGTTGGCTTGTATATTAATCAGCACTTCCCTTACGTATGGTCCAGGCATGCCAAGACAAGTCTGTCCAAGCTTTTAAGACTTTCTTAAGGCTGCAGTATACGTACTGGAGCCATCTTCTTTATCTTGAGTGTCAGCTTCATGTTGAGGCATCTTTTTAACTTTTTTTTTTGCAAATGTCCCTTTTGCTGCAGGATACACTTCGTGGGTGTCACTCAAATATCTTCTAAATTTAGGTTCCAGTCTTAGAACCAGCAATGCGACTAGAACCGCATATTTGGTGCATTATAATGAACTCCCATGAAGTCTGTAAGGCTATAAAAAGCACTGGCAGCCTCTGCTCTTGGAATCCAATGTTTGTATGTTTTACCTGTGCTTATGAGAGCTGGCTATATACAACTTGAAGGAGAAAACCTGAAATAGCGATAGCCCTCTAGGTTTTTGATGCCATATCTGCTTCTGCATGTTTTCTTTGAGCCAGAGGCTATTGATGAAGTGGGAACAGATGGTGTTCTAAGTTGGGTGCATGTATCCAGCAAATATCCTCCTTTCATTGGATGTTTCTTCTCCACTTACTGAGTTGCTAAGTTTCCGAATTCCTTTGCAATGCAGCAGAGTACTTCATTATATTGTTATCTTGTCTGAGGTTATTTTAACAACTGTTCATTTTACCTGTTCAAGGGTAAAGGGTTCAGTTCAATCACTTCTGAAGGCTTAGACCTTTCTTAGTATGCCATGTAGTGCATGCATAATCACAGGTAGGAGCTGCCTGGGTGCTTCATGGAATGCTGTGACAAAACTTTAGCTTGCATGGATGCTGCCTGATGCGCTGTAATCGCCAGCATTTGTTGTTTATAGTAATGATTGTGGACAAACTGCACATAGTTCTGAGTCATCTGGAGTGTGGACTTAACATCCTGTGGGGCCCATATAAGGAAGGGAGTTGATAAACAAGCAAAAGGCTACTTCCGACTTTTGCGAACATACAATAGGTTTTGCAAAATAGCTGGCTAATGCAAATGAATTCACATTTTTTGGTGCTACCAGGGTGAACATAGCAATGTTGTGACCATATCTGTTAGAATTCAAATGTTGGGAAACTATTTACACACTCACTGATTTCTTGTCATCCTGGAGGCATACCCAGTAATTGGAGCACAGCAGAAAAGTGGTTATGGTTGTGAAAACCATTAATCTCAGCCCCAGGCCATCTTTGTAGGAGTTTCTCAGAGCAGTTTTCAAAGGTCAGTCAGCATCTGTTTCATAAATGAGCTGTCTCTCCACCCCCACCTCTCCCCCCAGCATTGTGTCAGAAGTAGGCTTTGTTCCCTGGTGGTTGCATTGTTTTAGTCCCATTTGTAATTCCTCAGATACGGAGGTGTCTGTGTGACAAAACCTAGGCTGGGTCAAGGTTTGTACTGATGAGTAGTATTCATGCTATATAAATGCTAGGCAGTGACCATCTCCAACAAGAATTTATCTTAAACCACATTTCAATGAAATTGAATTGTATTACCAACATTGGATTCTCACATTCTCAACATCCTGTGGGATTCAATTTACCAGATACTGGCCTGGCACCTTGAATACTGTGGCTAGAAGAGAATCAGAGTCTGAGAATTTTACAGGAAGTAACTCCCCATGGCTTGTCAATCATCTACAAGCCTGGATTGTGATGAAATACACTTCATTTGCCTGCATGACTGCAGCTCTAACAACATTTAAAAAGCTGACATCATTCCAGTGCAAGGCATCAAACTTGATTGACATCTGGTGCACTCCCTGAAGTGCTCACCCCTTCCATAGTTGACATAATATGACAGCCGTGTATTTGATCTGCAAAATTCACTGAAGCAATTCACCAAGGTTTTCTCAATAGTGACTCACTGACCACTGCCCCCTGCCACATAGGGGCAACATTCTCAATAGCATCACGACCATATTTCTGCTCAAATGTAATGCTGACTTGAAAAAACAATCACTATCACTGTTGTTTGGTTAGAATCCTACAATTCCCTTCATAAGTGTGTGTCTGTGTGTCTATACTGCACAGACTGCTGTGGTCAAGAAGCTCACCACCATCTTCGAGAAATTCGAAATGTCCTTGCGAGTCTCTCTCGCAACCCTTGAATGAATAAATAACAAACAGAGGGCCAAATGAGCTGGCTGACTCTGAAGAGAATGCATCACTGCTTTATCCAGTCAATCTTGTCATTGGATTGAAAAATTGCCAGTTGAGGACAGGAGTTGACATGCAATCACATTGGGCACAGTGCCAAGATTTGAACAAATATGAGGCCACAGTGATGAAAGTCAACTTGCTATTACTTCATTACAAAAGAACCTTGAGGAGCAAATTAGGTTCTGAATGACTTTTGTTTTCCATTCAGCGACACTGAAGAAAAGTATTCGAATCACAAAGACTCTTTCACTTCCTACAAAATATGTTATAGATAAGGATAAGCAAATGAAAATGGGGAAGAGATAACATTGTGTGGAGCTGGCGGAACACAGCAGGCCAGGAAGCATCAGAGGAGCAGGAAAGTTGACGTTTTGCGTTGGGACCCTTCTTCAGAAATGGGGAGGAGGAAGGGAGCTGGGATATAAACAGAGAGATGAGGGTTGGGGCTGGAGAAGGTAGGTCGGATGGTGATAGGTGAGTGCAGGTAGGGAGTGGTGGGAATTTGGTCAGTGAGCTGGGAGGGGTGGATAGGTAGTGGAAAAGATAGACAGGTTGTGTCATCCCCGCCTCCTTGACCTGACACAACCTGTCCATCATCTCTCCCACCTATTGGCACACCCCCCAATTCTGGAGTGCAGCAGTACAAAGCCTCCATGTAGAAAAGAGTCAGTAATAATTATTGAGAAATTTTCAGCTTGTCTTTTGGGCCTGTTGCCTCAGTAGGGATCCTGATGCATGTTGAGCACTGAATTTATGGATTGCCTTGTATCTTGTACCTATCCCTGTAACCCTGCCATTTCCCATTGCTAATTCACCTAGCCTGCATCTCCCTGAACACTGGGCAATTTACCATGGCCAATTAACCAAACCTGCACATCTTTGGACTGTGGGAGGAAACCAGAGCACCCGGAGGAAACCCATGTAGACAGGGGAACAATTTGCAAACTCCACACTGTCACACTGACCCCGGGTCCCTGACATTGAGGCAGCAGTGCTAACCACTGAGCCACCGTGTTGTCCACTGTGAAAGCATTTAATAGCAATTTCCAAATAGTGGTCTTGCCTAGACTGAGATGAGGAGAAATTCTTGTATCATAGAGTGGAGAGTCTTTGGAGCTATCTTCAGGGAGCAGTGGAGGTGGGATTATTGAGGTAGAGGTGGATGGATTTTTGATTAACAAGGGAGTCAAAAGTCAGCAGGGATAGGCAATAAAGTAGAATTGAGGCCACAACCAGATCAGCCATGATCTTATTGAATGGAGGAGCAGGCTTGAATGAAGAAATGACCTAGTTCCTGTCCCCTAATTTGTATGTCCATAATGATGATATAACTGTAACTTGTGGAAGTGTAGGTCTTATTGTAATAGTTTAGTTGCACTTTTGGTAAAATGATGGCTGTGGAGTGGGAGCAGTTCCAAGAAAATTCCCAGGCTGTGTTTCTACCTGAAATGTGAACCATCATTTATATTCAGGGGTCCATATGGAACTGCTTTTTAACTTTCAACTTTCTGTGTTTGTTTTAAATTCCTAATGATTTAAAAAAAAATTTAGCCATGATTAAATAGAGATGCACTAGTAGCTTGGTGTGGGGAGATGGGCCTTTCCTTTTGTGTGGTTTATCTTAGAATTATAATAATTGTCAGTGAGAATGCTCGGAAGTGCCCTAGCTGAGCAAGGGCACTGTCTTGTCAGTGAGGTGAAACGTTTTGGAACTATTCAAAAGTGGACTCTATAAATTGGCAAATTATTGTGAATCACATAAACGTTGAATGTATTGTTTCAGATCCAATGCAGGGGACATTGATTCTCCGGAATATCAGCACTGCAACAAATGGTTTGTACCAGTGTACAGCTTCTAACACCATTGGATCCAGTACCTGTGCCATTGACCTACAGGTTGTTGCTTGTAAGTACACTGTTAATGCTGTCTTTTTACAGAAACTATAATTTTGTGAATTTTTCTCCTCCTCTAAGTGCAGAATTCAGCTTGACCTGCTTATATAACAAGGGTTAATAGCAATGAGGATTTTAAAACACAGAGCATTTGCAGACATTAGCCATTTAGATTCCAGAGATTTAAGCAAAAAAGTTAAGCTCATCAAACAAACATTTAAGGCAACGTAATAATTATTAAAAAAAATCTATCTTAGACACCAAAACTGATAATATAATTCTTCTTTAGCAATAACTTATGCTCTTCTATAGCAGTAGTTTTGAAAGTTGTTTAGTGAGAAAATTAGGTACATCATTGCATTAGATAAGTAAGACCATTATTGCATTTGAACTTGAGTCTTAAATAGGAATTTTACCATCTTCTCATTGTATCCATTGGAGTAGGTCCTTAGCTCATTTATTCTGGAAATACACTGGAGAGTCGGCTTGGACAATAAACCATGTCCTAATGTATGTCCACAACCTTGTGAATCAGAGTCGTGCTGACATTTCTGACATGTTATTCAGAGGTGGCATTAGGGAATGGAGATACTTAAGTAAGATTTTATAATGAGTTTATAGAAATATAAGGTTTGTTTTATGTATTTTGCTAATCTTAACATGGCTTCCTATTATTTGTAACTCTCCAACTTTCCAACCAACACTTGGAAGAGGTGCTATTGTAGATTTCTCTTTCACAGGCACTGGTTATTCTTTAATGCTTTGCCTTATTGGCTATTCTTCCTTTGTTGTCACTTGGTTTTTGATATAAAGCTGTGTACAGCAGTAGTCAGACTTGCTTATTTACCAGTACCATTCATTGGATGGTGACGAGAAGTGTGAATACATATATAAGTGGTCTAATGTTGGACTAGTTACAGCTCACACCCTGCTACCCTGGCTGAGTTAAATTAAGTTAGCTTAAGAGCAGGTCACTCCACAAAATTATCTTCCCTCCGTGGAAAATTTTGCTTTGGGAAAAGTATCCAGCTGAAACATTAGGAGACACTAAAGAGCAGGTCACTCCACAAAATTATCTTCCCTCCGTGGAAAATTTTGCTCTGGGAAAAGTATCCAGCTGAAACATTAGGAGACACTAGTTGCAGTGTTTAACTTGCTAATAATTTTTTTTTTAACAGTGAATGTTTTTGATTTGCAAATGTATGAAATAGAAGCAGTAGACATTTAGGTCTGTTTGCCTTCTCTGCCTTTCATAAGACCACCAGCTTCTGAGGCAGAAAGTTTTAAAGTCATGAAATCCTCAGGTGAAAAAAATAGCTCCTTATCCCCAATCTGAAAGGGAGGCCCTTAATTTTAAAACATCATCCCCCAGTTATGGACTGACCCACCAGAGGAAACATCCTTGTCGCATCCATCTTGTCAAAACTTCGGTTTCTTATACACTTCAAATTAGTCTTCTCTCAGTCTCTGAAAGTGAAAGTGATAACATGCCCAGTCTGTCCAATCCATAAGACAAGCTGATCATTCCAGATATCAATCTAAAGTCTTCTTTGATCTGTTCCAATGCATATACATCCTTCCTTAAGTAAGGAGACCAAAGCTGCACACAGTATTCGAGATGTATTCAGACCAATGTCCTGTACAACCGAAGCATAACATCCTTAGTTTTATGTTCAATTCCTCTTGTAATGAAGGATAATACCCCATTAGCTTTTGTGTTTTATGTGCTGTACCTGCATTCTAGCTTTTTTGTGACTTGTGCACCAGAACACGTAAATTCCTCCGCACTTCTGAATTCTCCATTTATATAATACTCTGTGTGCAGCCTCATTCATTTCAAATGTTGTCTTCTTAAGCATTTGAGATAAACTTGGAAGAATGAATGGACGAACAGTATTAGTGTAGATGCTACCATTATACTTTTTTTTCAAAAGGAAGTTACTATTGTAGATATATAATAATTTTCATTTCAATATCTGTATAGATTTAAATTTAGACTGTTAGATGTAGTTAACATTAATAGATAAAGAAAACACTCAAATCTGTCAAAATATTTCTGAAGCTTGTCATTTAACAATCCTATGGCATGAGCCTATATGCCTCTGCCACTTACTATTCATTCTCTGCTTGTCATTTGAGCAGTTCTTTAAAAAGATATTACTGTCGAAGGACTGCGTCATTTTAGTTGACAATTGAAGCAAGACTGTGGGGATGAAAGTCACCTCTCTTTCATGGTTGTTAATAGTCTTAAATGAAATTAGTTCAGGCAATCACAATCCAGTTCTCTGGGGATACAGGTCCACAGCACAGACCTCCCAACACTTTGGCACTAATTGACACTAATGAGGCAATCTCTCAGAGACATTATGAGGCTGCCTAAAGTGAGAAATGGAAATGTCATGCTAATATAGTGAGGGTAGAGGAGGGGATACCAATGAGGTTTCTGCAGCAAATGATATTTGTAGTGTTATACAAATAGTAATCTTAGACCTTTCATTGGCTCGCTCCCAGACAGATGTTTTGCACATTTCACTCATTAAAATTTCTATAAAAATTAGGAAGCAATAGTTTTCTTCCGAACATATTGCTGTGGAACTATCAGAAGTCAATGTTTTCAAGAGTTATTTTTAGCTAGAAAATAGATGGTAAGGAAATCTGAGTCCTGATGAGCTATAGGCAAACATGGTGTGATGTAATAAAGGAGCATGAGACCACCTGAATAGAGAAACTAAGAAAGGAAGACTTACATTCATTCAGGACCATTTACAGCCTCCAGATGTTCCAAACTGCCTGTAAGCCAACAAAGTTCTTTTTAAGTGTAGTCATGATTGTAATGCATAGAAAGCAGCAGTTAAATAGCATTCCTCAAGGATCCACAAACAACAATAAGATGGACAATGAGGAAATGTCAGCTGTCTCTCATTAATAGCTCTAAGAGGAGATGGCCCCTCAAATGGGACTGCACTCGCTCAGTAATGCACTGATGTGTGAGCAAAATTTATGTAATCACGACTCCGGATCTTGAACGAGTGATCTGTAGTCCCAACCCCACGGCAACTTCACGCAAGTTGCAGTATTTTCCTGTTTTCCTCCTCTATCCTCACTATCCAGGGCCCAGGCATACCTTCCAGGTGAAGTAACAATTTATCCGCACATCATTCAATTCAGACTACTGTATTTGCTACTCTCAATCTGGTCTCCTATCGTCTGGGGAGAGGAAACTTTGGTGACAGCTTTGCGGAACATCTCCCGTTCAGCCATTAAAAACCAAGCTTCCAGTTGCTTGCCACTTCAACACATCACTGTGTTCCCATGCCAACATGTCTGACTCAGGCCTGCTACAGTGCTCCATAAAGTTCAATGCAAGCTAGAGTAACAATGCCCCATCTTCTGCCTAGATACATTAGGTCTCGGACTCAAAATCAAATTTAACAATTTTAGAGTACAAAGACTTTCATCCATGTTCATTACCCATTCCCACACCCCTAGGTCCTGTTCTGTGAGCGTTGCTTCCAGCATAGCCAACCCAGTTTTAATTTTTCACCCTTCCCCTTAGCACCTATTCAGCATTTATCTCTCTCCCAGCTAACATCTGCAATCTCTTTTGTCTGCTTCTCCTTTTTCCTTCTCTTTTTTTTCCTCTGGATACTGTCTCCATCTCTTCTACTCGTGCCTTCATCTCCCTCCCTCTCTCCCTCCTCCCCCAGCCAAACTCCACTTGAACCCCACCCCTACTCATCAGTATAAATGCCAACATTTCCCAGGTGCTTTCATTTCTGAAGAAGGGTCAATGGACTTGAAACTTTAATTCTCTTTTTCTTTCTTTGGATGGTGCCAGGCCTTCTGAGTTTCTCCAGCACTTTGTTTCTGTTTCAAATTTCCAGCATCCACAGTTCTTTGTTTTATATTAGACAATTAAGTAGTTTGTTTTAAGTTTTGATGGAGAGTTGGATGTTGGCTGGGAATCTGGAAAACCTCCCTTGCTGTCCTTTGAAAGTGCCTTGAAATCTGAGGGGACAGAGGTCTCGAATTATTGACCTTATCAAGAGATGGCACATTCAAAGGGGTAACATTCCCTCTATTATGCACTAATGTGGGAGCTCAATTTATATAATCAAAACTCTGGGAGCTGAAGCCCTAATCCATGAATACACAGTCTGGAGATGCTGAATGGACCAGGACCGAAATGTCGACTCTCCTATTCCTCTGATGCTACCTGAGCTGCTGTGTTCCTCCAACTCCACACAGTATAGACGAATATGTAGAGTTCCACTACTGTCCCAAAGCTAGGTTTAACTAATTTATAGTCTTGTATGTGAATGCCCAATTCAATTCCAATTCATAGAAAAGCTTGAATTTTTATGACATGTTTTCTAGAAGCCTGCAATGGTCTCAGAAGTCAATTCTGGAGAACAATGAAGACTCCAAAGAGCAGACAATTCATTTGTGATGCTTTACAATTTTGAGATGGCCATATTTAACACAAATTGCACATGCCTCTGATTCTTGAACTTGTTCTCACCTCACTGTTCTCATTCCACTAGAAGTATGCTGAATGCTCTGTTGATGTGAATAAATATTTGTTTTTTGCCATGCTTCCAGTTGAGTTAAGGTTATGTAGGTCAACATTCAGACATTGTCCCCATAATATGTGTAGAATTGCCACAGTGTTGAGAACTTATTCAGAGTGGTTCTGCAGAAGTGCCAATAGTGAGCTAACTGATCAAAAAACTTTCATTATATCTCAAAACATTTATTTTAAAATGGTTTATAGAAGCTAAAGATGTCATTGCTTTGTTGGGTCAATAGTTGTATTAATGTACTGTATGCAGGTTCAAATTAAATAATACCCTTATCCGAAGGTACATCAGGATATAGGATTACTGAAAGAAGAATCACTTGCCTGGATGAGTACAAGGGGCGGCATGGTGACTCAGTGGTTAGCACTGCTGCCTCACAGTGCGAGGGACCCGGGTTCGATTCCACCCTCGGGCGACTGTGTGGAGTTTGCACATTCTCCCCGTGTCTGCGTGGGTTTCCTCCGGGTGCTCTGGTTTCCTCCCACAGTCCAAAGATGTGCAGGTTAGGTGGATTGGCCATGCTAAATTTCCCCTAGTGTTCAGGGAAGTGTAGATTAGGTGGGTTATCGGGGGATGGGTCGGTGTGGACTTGTTGGGCTGAAGGGCCTGTTTCCACACTGTAGGGATTCTATGATTCTAAAGGCCATCTATCTAGACAGTAGTCATTTACAGTTCACTGTGACACATCTAAGGCCTGCAGGATAGTACCTAGGTCCTGAGCTTCCTCAGAGAATAGGAACAAGTAAATTGGAGAATAGCTGACTAGAAAGCATAAGATACTAAGCATTAGATTACCTGCCTGTTGTAAGGTGATGCAGATTGTACAGAGTACTAACCCTAAAAATTGGGTGTCAGGAGGATAAGTTTAAATTCTCCTTTCTTTTGCCTCAACAGCACAACTGCAGAATGTTGGAATAATAATTGGAGCTGTGGTGACAGGTATCCTGGCACTTCTCCTCTGCATCTTTTCCATTGTTGTCGTTGTGGTCTACTGGAAGAACAAAAACAAGTATGAAGAGGAGGAAATTCCCAATGAGATCAGGTTAGTACTTAAGAACATTAAGAAATTTATATAGTATTTATACAGTCCTTTACAAAGTATTTCAAAAATAATTACTTCTGTGGGACAGTCACTGTTATGTTGCAAAAATGTGGCAACAAATTTGAATTCAGCCAGGTCAAAGATAAAAGAATGACATGATGACCAGTTAAACTGTGTTTTGGTGATGCTGGTCATTGCCATTAGAACAAAAGAAGTCTGTTGCTTCTATTTCAATAGTTCTAATGGATTCTTTTTTTTAAAATGCCCAGCTGAACAGCAGATGGAGGCTTCATATTTCATCTGACGCATCTACTCCTGGGAGTTAAATCCCACTCCAGCTACTCAAGGGTCAAAAGTTATTTAATGCTTATGTCCACTACTTGTGCAATGTTGCACTATCGGATGTGTCCCCTATCGGATGTGACGTTCAGCTGAAGTCACATTTGCCCTCCTGGTTGACGTCAAAGAATTGATTGCATTGTTACAAAGAAAAGCATGGGAGTTCTCAGTGGACTCCCAGTTCAAATTTATTCCTTAACTCAAATTGTCAAATTAGATAATCTGGTCCTCATCACATGTTGCTTGTGAGACCTTGCTCAGTGGAAATTTGCTGATATGTTTCATGGATTTCAACAGTGATTGTACATCAAAAGTATTCACTTGGCCATGAATTGCTTTTGGAATGTTTTGAAATCACAAATGAAAAGTTCTTTCCTGCACCATGTTCAATGATGATGTGAGCTAAAATAACTGTATTTCTCTGACAATCAGTTTATGTCTCCCATAAGGCATGGAAAGACATTTTCTGTTACTTTCTGTTTTCAGAATTTTTATTTAGCAGAACAGGATCATGCTTACAGAAAAAAGTTTCTTGTATATTTATTACAATAAAGACTTCAGTTTTGTAATCTAGCAAAATCTGTCGTGGGAAGAGTTGTCAGCCTGTCATAATGCATTAAGGTAATAGTGCCCAGTTTTATGAGGCCTGTATAATTAATACAAGCTTCCAGCACAATTCTGGTTGTGAATAGCAGCTAATAAGTGATGCACAAAAACTGGCCAGCCAATTTGGAGGAATATATAAAAATTTAGGGATAAAAGACAGCATAGAGGGGGAAGTGTTAATCCAATTGAATGTCAAATATTTGTCAGCCTTTTCTAAGGATGGGAATGGGCAATAATAGTCCAAGTGAGGTGAAAGGACTCCTAACGTAGAGAAAGAAAATGGAGTCTGTGAAAAAGTTGTATTCAGAAGTGGTTGCCTGTCTGTAACAAACTGATAAAGTTGAATATAATGGCTCAGGAGGTGATGCAAAGTGTCTTTAGCTCTTTGGAGCGTCTTCCTCAGAGGAAAGTAGGACATTCTGTCTGTCAGGAAGTGGGTACAGTCTGTAAAGCTCTGCATGTTGAAGGTCAATCAATTTAGCTCCAGAACATCTTTGTAGGAGTATCCAAGGCCTGACCAGCTTATCCATCAAATGACCTTCCTTTCCTTGCGTGATGACAAATGAAGATATTAGTTAATAATACTTAATAAAAGCAGTGTTTTTTTTAAACTGACTTACTTTTGAATTCTGGTTGATTCGGCACGGGTCATTCGTCTCTTCTTTTGACTGAAGTTCTTCTGTCTTCAGTCTTCCTTTCTTGTTCACTGGACCCCTAAGAATCACAATTCCTTAATTGGTTTCCTTAGAAGTAATGGACATCTCAGTGACATTACTTCATACTGTCTCCTGATTCATTCTTTAACTTACCAGTCATTTTGTTCATAGCCTGTCAGATCAATCTGCCAATTTCTCCTTCACAGATGCTATCAGACCTGCTGAGCTTTTCCAGCAACTTTGTTTTTGTTCCGACCAATTTTGACATGTTTACCAATAATGTGGCGCCAGTAGGACAATTTGTATTCTGGCCAGGAGAATGTCGTAACACGTCCCAGTGATTAGCTATCATCCAAAATATCCAAAATGATACATCTAAACTTTCTCCAAAACTAATCAATGTTATTTAACTAAAAGAGCCACAATAACTGAAATAATTAAAATTCAGAATAGTCATATAAGACAAATATACAAAGCCTGTTGCATACTTTGTTACAACTAAACCACTTTAAAATACAGCTGTGTTGTTAAGTAAAAGCTTGTTGTCACATTAAAGTATTTTCACAACAAGTTTATGTGAACTTGAACTATAAAAGCATTCTTCATATCATAAATCCATGAACTCACTTTGGCCACATGGCTATTCTTCCCTACCAAAAGTGTTTTGCAACTAACCTCAATCAAACAAAATAGAATTTAGTCTCTCACTTGTTTAATCAAGTCAAAATGAATAATTGGTGAAACATTAACTTCTCCACTTTAGGCAGGTCCTTGACAACATTCGAGCTTGTGTTAATATGGAGTAAGTGAAATTTGTCGACATGCGCTAGACATTCAATGGCTTTGACATCATTAACTCGTTGTGGGGCACGATTAAGCAGCTTAGAGGGTTCAGAGATTTACCAGGAAGTTGCTGGGTATGGAAGGTTTGAGTTATAAAGAAAGGCTGGAAATGCTGGGACTCTTTTTTTCACTGGACTGTAGAAGGTTGAGAGGTGACCTGATAGAAGTTTATAAAATAAGGAGAGGTACAGCTGGAGTTGATGGTCGTTGTCATTTCCCTCAGATGGGGAATTTCGAGACTAGGGGACACATTTTTAAGGTGAGAGGAAAGAGATTTAAAAAAGACATGAGGCAAATTTTTTACACAGAGGGTGGTTCACGTGTGGAATGAACTTCCTGAAAAAGTGGTGGGTGCGGATACACTTACAATGTTTAAAAGACATTTGGATAGATATTTGAATAGGAAAGGTTTGGAGGGAATAGGAAAAGTTTGGACCAGGAGCGGGCAGTTGGGACTGGTTTGGTTTGGGATTATGGTAAGCATGGACTGGTTGGACCAAAGGGTCTATTCTGTGCTGTATGACTCTATGACCACTTAGGACAAAGTAGCAACTCATCCATGAGCTAAGCACCTTCAAAGGTAATTAAAAATGGTTAATAAATGCTGGTCTTGCCAGAGACTCTCACATTCCATGATGTGGGAAAAGAACAGTGTGGTGTCATCTGTAGTTTGCTATTGTCTTAGAAACCTGACACCTGGAAAATTTCTATATTTGTGCAGAAAAATGATGCACTTGTTTCTCCTTGGAAAGCAAACATTTTTGATGCATCTCTGGACAGGATCTGGCGATGTAAGTGTTACAGCGTATGTGAAAAACAGATGCAATGATATCTGAAGTATTTTAGATACGTGGTCGACGCTAGATTTTAATCTGTAGAATGTATATGGATCTATTTTGATCTGTGCTTTTTCAATTCAATTATAAGCAATTGCAGGAAGTGAAAGGTAGTGCGTTGTTGACTCCACAGCCTGGAAATGGACCCTCCGGTCCAACTTGTCTATGCCAATCAGATGTCCCAAATTAATTTAGACCCATTGCCAGCACTTGTTCCATATCCTTCCAAACCCTTCCTATTCCTGTACCCATCCAGATGCCGTTTAAATGTTGTATTTGTACCAGCCTCCATCACTTCATCTGGCAGCTCATTCTATACACATACCACCCTCTGCTTGAAGAAGCTGCCCCTTAGGACTCTTTTTAAATCTTTCCCCTCTCAGCTATGTCTTCTAGTTTTGGATTCCCCTACCCTGGGGAAAATACCTTGGAAATTCAACCTATCCATGACCCTCATGATTTTATAAACCTCTGTAAGGTCACCCCTCAGCCTCTGATACTCCAGGGAAAATAACCCCAGCCTATTCAACAAATATGTGTTGCTTTGTAATTGGTATTAAGCAAATTTTACCTAATTGTTTCTTTGTAAGCTCCGTTGAAGAAAATTTATGGAAATGCACACTTTCATTCTGTTTTCATTGTGACAAGCACCTGATTTATTGGGTTAAATGAATTAATGCAGTTTTTGATCTGAATGCTTTATCACTTAGATTTGTCATCCTTTAAGCTAAATTCACATATCCTAATTATGACTCCAGAAAAAAATGGAGTACTTTGAAAAAAGAATTGATGGATTATGGAATGATGGATGATTATCAAGAGCTCTGTGGACCTTGAATTTTTTTTTTGCTTTCTGACCAGGTTGAACTACCTGTTTGAATTAAGTGCATTAAACTAGAAGTTTAATTGGGAAAAAAACTTTTAATTTAATTAATTTACTTTATAAACATAAATTAGGTAAAATATCTCATATAATGATAGCTTGATGGTGTAATGTGTTGAAGCATCAATGCATGGATGGTAGTGTGATGAGAGACAAGTTTGCTTCTCTCTGATTTTACCCTACTGTCACACTGCTGTGAATATGGGTACTTAATGGAGGGCTGGCTCAACACCATATCATGCTGTGCTTTTATCCACAGAACATTTGGTCAAAGCAACTTCACATATACCTAACTGCTAGAAGAGTGAAACAGATGATCAGAAGATTGTGCTTTCTCTGTTTATATGTGGGTTAGAAACTAGGTCAAACTGATAGGAGTGCCGAAGCCACTTTGATTTCAAAGTTGCTAGGCAACTCCATGGAGATACTGGGGTAATTTACTTCATGGTATGTTCTAAATTGCAGAATAGTAGTATCATCAACGTTGCATGGAATTAATCCAAAGGCTTTTGGTTTACTTCTACAATGTTTCAATAAAACTGATGTTGATTTTACTTCAGGTGATTATAATTGGCACAAATCATGTTGTTATTTTGTATTATTCATGAATGCACTGTAAGGCTCTTGCTGTCAGTCAAATTTGGATCCCTGTGAACTGAAGAAATCTGAGATCATCATATTTTTTATATGCAACATTAGTTTCATACCTATGCCATTAGGGTTAATAGACTTCACCATAAAGAAGTTTAATGCTGTTTTTTGATAATTGTGGGACAATCAAAATACGTAGAGAACAGGTGACACACAGTCGGTTCTGCTACAATGCAATGTTGTGTTCCTGTGAAACTTTGCATTATAGAAAATTGTGCTATATAAATAGTGGGGGCTATAGGAAAAGCAGGGTTAGGGGCAGACCCCCAAAAAATATCAATCAAAATAGCTCAAAAATCACTCAAGCCTAACACAAAGGATAGCGCAGTTTGAATATATGTTTAATTCATTTCTAATAATGAGATAAAAGTAAATTTAACACTGTATCTTGGGGAAAAAAAAGTCAAGGTGACTCGATGGGGGAGGAAGTTCTGAGTTTGTTCTGTTGTTCATGTTAATCGTCATGCTGACACAGAGACTCTTACAGTGCTAACATTGCACACGCTCAGGACAAAGCCCGCGAATCATGCGATGTTGACACATACTCCTCCGCACACCAGTGGAATCGCGTTATGGCCAACACAAGTTCATGTTTTAGAAATAGCATTCCCCTATTCGTCAGCCGTGTTATAGCCAATTCGTGTTGCTGGAAGGTGGATTATAGCAGAACTGACTGCACCTCAATGAGGAGTCCTATGCAATGGGAGCATGGATTGGAATGATGGTCATATCTGAACAATATTGATTTTGAATACAGGATCAGTGTAATAATCCGTTGAATTTATTTTTAATTCTGTGATTAATCAGTTTTAGCACTTCAACTCCTGGAATAAATAGTTGTATTGTTTATTGACATCATAAATGCTACAGAATTAGTTGATGATCAATGGTTATTCTGAGTACTTGTTAATTCAATGTTCCTTTCTTCAGGGAAGATGACATTCCACCATCATCATCATCCTCTAAAGGTTTCCATCCAGCTGGTTCCTCTGAAAATGTTACCCTCACATCAGTAAACACACTAAATGCCCCCTACTGGCAAAAAAAGAAGTCTACCTATGAGTTAAATCCATTCAGTCGGTATAATGGACATACGCTCCACTCAATTACGACGACGTCGAGTCAACCACAGAACCGACCAGTGTACACAAATGGAAGCTACCACACCACGGCAAAGGCAATGATTGTTGCTTCAAGTTTATCTCCATCTTCACAAAACCTAGCAAGGTGCAATGGCTCACTTGTTCGTACGACACCTTCACAGCATGCACTCTCCTATGCTGTTAGCCATGCAAATCTTCAACGAATGGGCGGCATACCTGTCATGGTACCGGCACAGAACAGGGCAGGATCTCTGGTGTAGATAACATTTAATTGACAGACTGAAGACTGTACTCGTGACCTAAATTTCAGTTACAGATTGATATTTTCTCATGTTAAAATAAAATACACTTTCTCGCCTGGTCCCTGATCTGTGGGCGGAATTGAATAAAAAGCAAAGCCGTTTCATGCCTGAGTTTGATTTACATGCAGCTGCATTTTGTCTTAAAATTAACACATTTCTGAAGTCTTATTTTGCTTTTCACCGTCATTGATAGGCACTGAATTACTTTAAATTCTTAGAAAAAATATGTATAAATTTTCCAAAAGAAATAAGACATTTGCTTGAAATTAAAGCGGAGTGATTTGAGTGCAGTTTCTTAATAATTGTTGAGAGACTGAAAACGTATCTGACATTAAGTTACTACCCTCAAGATGGGAAATGTGAAGAATTTTCATCAAGTATAATTCACAGGTCTGATTGCATCCCTCTATTTACTGTTCAGATACCTGGAACTGCAATAAGGGATAGACGAAATGTTTCAATGAAGGGCAATGTTGAAAATTGATAAGTTCTGGAAAATTACTGAGACTTTCAAAGTTCATCAAAGTATTCTAAGTGTATTAAAAGACCAAAAATTGGAAAAAAAATTGTCAATTGGACATGACATTGGAAGTGTATAGTTTTCTTTGAAGGGAATGATTTGAGATCATCTCCAATCAGTCTCGGACACCACCAAACATGCTTTTGCTGAAATGCTCGTCTTAGAGCAATTCTACACGGATAAAAGTGGCATTATTTAGAGACAGCACAACTAACTGAGAAAGCAAGGGTATTGAGATGATTAAAAAGAACAGAATGGAATTACTGAAATATGCCTTCAACCACAAAAAGGGGTTCATAAATAACTGGACTGAAGGGGCTCCCAACTGCTGTGTGGAACAGTAAACCAGTATTTTGCAATGGTTTTGTTTGAACAACAAAGTTCAAAATGATTGTTTGTAGTTGTGAGAAAAGTTATTTAGAATGGCAGAAATTAATGCTTCAAGGTATTGTTAAGATCTATGTATAAGCATTTTCAGAAGAAATATTTGTTTCATTTACCTATTAAGAGATTAGGTTACATATACATCACAACAGTAAATTGTGTTTACATTCGTTAATGGTTTCTATAGTTTCTACTGCTGTTGTGCGTTATTTATGTCAAATAGAGCTCTGTCACTGGAACGTTGGTGCTTGGTACAGATTCCGGCTTCCCCCACAACCTTGTTACGACTGGGCTATGATCCAGCTAAAGGCTCCTTTTCTGTGCATGATAGATTGAAGGATAATGTTAGATACAATTTTTTGAGTTCTTTGGTTGCTGTAGAGGTTTTTTGCTGAATTGGACACACTTTAGCTAAACAATGAACCATTTCTCAATTGTCTCAACACCTTGTATGAAGCATTTGGCACCACAAAAACATCTGAGCCATTTTATTTAAATTGAATAGGAGCTGCTTCCATCTGCCATGTAAATACAGACTGTTGCTTACAGCGACACTGCTAAAATAAATTGCCCAGAAGCTGCTAACCACAACAGCAAATACAAGTCTAGCCATTTGTTTTTCACTGATTTGTAATGCTGGAATTCAAATAAACAGCCCAAATAATTGGAAGCAAAATCTCCAATATCATTTGAATGAAAGCTGATCAGTGAAATGAATTCATTGGTAGAATTGCACCAAAGCTCCTGTCAACAACCCAACTGATTGCAGCCATTTGTGCATAAATTTCGATTATTGTATTAATGAGTTTAAAAAATTCAAAATTAGCCATTTTTAATTTTTTGATCCTTGTGCACACCTATATCTGTTAAATGTATAATAAAACATATTAGCACCAAAAATGGTATTTTGCATTTTTAATTTCTAAAAAATTACATAACTGGATGGAATTGAATTGTGCCTTGTTAGCTTATCAGCGTTTAAATTAGTTGTGCAAAAAAAAAGAGCATGAACAAGTAATTTTGACATGGGTTTGAAGGGTACAGAGAACTCGAAGCTATTTGGTAAAGCACACTTATCCCACAACAGATGCTTGAAAATAATTACTTGTCTATTTTTGATTAACCATCAACATTTCTAAATCATTTATGTACTTGCATTTTATTGTTCAGCAGTCAAATGCTGCCGGCAATATTACACTGATGAACCTGTAATGCACCACATATGTTAAAGTTGTAAAACTGTCTAAATCAAAAATGTTTCATGATTTACAGGCCAGAGATGCTATGAATGCATTATGGCTAAAACCATGGGTTTTATTGTGCCATATAGTGTTATGGGTGCTGTTTTGGTACCCCAATTGCAATACATGTGACAGTGTTTATGTACCTCGATGAAGCTGTAGCTTCAGGTAAGTTGGAGAACTACAGAGTTTGCGGATTTTGATGCGTTTGGCTTGTAACACTGAAGTGAAGCTGGCCGTTTGGAAACTTGTGGTTCTAGCCGGTGCCCGCTCTTACATATGCAGAGTGGCATGTCTTCATCAGCAGGTGGAAAACTACTTCAACCACTGGTCCAATTTAAAGAGGACCATCGGCAGCTTTAGTTTAGTCACTCATTAATGCCTGTTTGGATTTGTGCCAATGTTTGGAGATTTCGCAGGGAGTTGTGCTGCACGTGGAGGAGACCATGGTTGAGGGCTAGGATTCTGGTTGGGCTACTTGCTCTTAGTCTTGCGTGTTATAGTTGCTGTTGCCCTTAGATTTCACTGCAGCACACAGCAGAAGCAGCAAAGTGAACAAATTGCTTTGTTCCCAGAGGGGAGAGGAGGATGGGGCTGTCAGTGGGAAGTCTTAAGCACCAAGGCTCTTCCAAGAGTATTTCTTCCACTACCTCTTCAGCAAAGATCGGGAATGCATTATCTGTGTTTTATGAAAAAGAGCTCCCAGTCACCCCTCGCAACTAGATCTGCAACTTTGGAGTAGAGCAAGAATGCTGTTGTCTGTGGCTAGAATGATGGCCATGGCCCTACATTTCCTTGCATCAGGCTCCTTCCAGGGTGGATCAGGTGATATCTAACATTTCATAGATCACAGCCCATTACTTGATCAGAAAGGTGACAAATGTTCTTTGTGAGAACAGGAAGGTTTAGTGTGTTATTTCTGATCACAGAGAAGGTGCAGTGTGTGCATGTGTGGTTTCGCCAGGTTGGTGGGATTCACCGTGGCACAAGGTGCTATTGACTGTGTGCGTGTCTTTGCAGCCATCACACCTAAAAGCTGAAATACATCATAATCTCAAAGATTACTACTTTTGAATGTGCATTTGGTGTGTGCGACAGCAACCGTAATGCTTTTATTCTGGCCCAATGCTTGGTGCAGAATTCTGTGCCAGTTTTCTGTGTTTGACCCACTGTATCAAACCAGAGGGTGACTGGGTGTTGAGAACCACCCACTTCGCACTTAGCCCAAGGGTTTATTGCACACTCAAACCGTATGTGCTCAGGAAGCACACATTAAGAGCGATGTCACCACAAAGAAAGCGTTATGCAGCAGCCCCTTGAGGTTCAGAAGCAAGAGTTCTGCATTTTGCCCTCCAATGGTTCCTGTATGAATCATGATGGTCCCCTCATCATGACCATTGAGGGAATAGTCCCCAGCACTAAGAATACATTGAGCAACTCAAGAACTGGAAGGCTAGTGGTGAGGAAGAAACAATCGGCAAATCCAAAGAGACTGTGTGGTAAGAGTAGGTGGATTAGATATCTTCAGCATATATTGTTGGCCGTGGCATTAGTCATGGCCACGCTAATGATGGCAATCAATGTCCTCCTCAAGTGGGTGTGGACATAACAGCCACTCTTGGGTTCTGTTGGTTTGGTGCTTCTCTGATTACAGACCATCTTGTCCTGCAAGAAAGAGGAAATCTGATGGAATGTGTTTGACTGTCGAATAGCTGTCTGTGTGAAAGCTGAGATGTGAAACTTGAGAGAGTGAGGTGATGCTATGAACATTAACTGTGAGTGTGATTGCCAGCTACTGCAGTTTCTATTACACTCTGTTTCCTGTGAGGGCTCAACCAACTTCATCCAAATTTCACCAATTCATGGGGGTAGGAGGATCTCAAAAGGAATGAGGGTGGGGTGACAGGGTCCTGCAATCATTCTGTGCAGACAGGAAGTGCATTGCTGTTTCTTCTGACTCCTTCAAAACAGGCCGGTGTTAAGTGTTCTCCAGTGGCTTCTTTGAGGTGCATCTCAGTTGGAAATTATTTTGGACCAGTTTTGTAGTGGGTCAAACATCTATACAGTATGGACATTGGCTTCTGCTCTGCTGGTTATACCTACTTTCCATCTTTAAACATAAATGGGACAATGTTGAATTCTGACCCGATTGTTCACTGCTATAACTTTTCAATGGGACAATACTGAGATGCTGGGAACAGCAAAGCATGTAGACACTTTAAGGACCCACAAAGTCCATACTTTTTCAAGGCAAGGATTAGGTAGAAAATTGGAGCAGGATCCTTCAATAATAATCTACCCCCCTTTCAGGCTCTGATGAGAAAATCTGACTGAGGTAAATGGAGTGCATATTTCATGTGATCATGACCGTGAAACCTGATGTAATCTTTGCAGTTGTGTCTAGAAGGCATCGTGAGATTCCTGACAATTTCCCCAGCGGTAAGTATATGTATAAAGAAAGTATGTTTACTCTACAAGTGCAATCTATGGGCCCCACAAGGAATTTCAGGCCTACCAGAGAAAGCATTGGGAGAGGAATTGCATTCATTTAGGTCTCAGGCCAGATTGCTTTCTCGATGCCATTAGTGCTGATTCTGGTGTGAGCCTGTGTCCCTTGCTAATAAACGACCACTTCCCTGGGAGCTAGGATGGGGGAATCATTATGAAGATTGCAGGGTAGATGGAATTCTTATTTCCAGTGGCATAGCACAGCTGGAACGACTGCATCTGATGTTTTAACAGGTTATACAATGAAATGAGGTATCAGAATATTTCACCTGCAATTTTGAGTGTCAGTTGTTTTAGAAAAAGTAGTTTGGCCAGTTAACAGCTGACAACCCAACATTGATTGCTACCCGAAACGTCAGCTTTCCTGCTCCTCTGCTGCCTGGCCTCCTGTGTTCCTCCAGCTCCACACTGCATTATCTCAGACTCCAGCATCGGCAGTTCTTACAATCTCTTGTAAAGCCTGGATTTGTTGGTGGTCTCAGTCTCCTCATTCATTGTACCTCGGAACACAATTCCAATACTTAAGTGAGCTGACCTTGCATTGTTGTTTGAGAGCAGCTTAACCCTGTGCAGGTTTAGGAGGAGCCCTCAGTGTCATTGTCACTCTATAATAACAGAGCCAACTTGTAGAAAACCATTGTTTTTGGCACATCAGAGCTGAGACATGCATGTAGTTCTACCATCATAAAGCAATGTGAGATGTAGCAATAGTCTGTCGTTTTATATCTCATCATGATGTTATCACAGCATGCAATAAATTTTGAAATGCACCATGGTGTGATAACATCTTCTAAGTAAAGAATATTATCAAAAGACATGTTTTATAGATCACTCCTGCAGAACAGTGCAGTTCTCTTAATTGCTGCCGTTTGGGAATGGGTAGGTAATAGTACTGTAATTATTTCTCACTGATACAGTATGGTAAGAATGACTTGAATCTGATCTGCCAAATTAAATCTTGAATTAATTTACTAACTTAATTCTGAGCATGATTTTGATTTGAGTTGAAAACCCAAGGTGACAATACAGCTCCTTGAGTTCAAGGGTAAAAAAGTGAAAGGCATAGGAATGAAACAAAAAGCAACAATTCTGTGATATTGTGCGTTTGCATTTTAACAGCTTACAATGAGTGGTGAAACCTGTAATGAAACAGAACTCATTCAATTTTCCTTCAAATTTCACAATGACTTGTACATATACGGCTTTATTGTAATAATGTTCCAAAGTGGTTCATTAAAGCATTGAGAGGAAAGTGAATGCCTTCTGTGAAAAGAGCTACATTGCGAATGTTTTTGAGAAAATCTGGAATGTTGAAGGTAAAGATAATTAATTTACAAAATAAAATCTGAAAGAACTGCGGATGCTGTAAATCAGGAACATAAACAGAAGTTGCTGGAAAATCTTAGCAGGTTTGGCAGCATCTGTGAAGGAAAAAACAGCGTTAGCGTTTCGGGTCTGGTCACCCTTCCTCATTTTACACTGATTATTGAAGTTGAGGATACTTATTGGATCTTTCTTCTCCAGTGACTTGTGAATGGCGATAGACAAGCAAACGACTATATGTATCAGTACTGCAGAGCTTCGATCTAATCTAATATTTATGGAGTCAAAAACCTCCGTCTATCACTTGCTGCTTATGTTTGGCATGTGAGTATTCCTGTTCCTGAACCAAGGTTCTGAGGAAGGGTCACTGGATCCGAAACGTTAACTCTGTTTTCTCCTCCACAGATGTTGCCAGACCTGCTGAGCTTTTCCAGCAACTTTGTTTTTATTCCTGTTCTGTAGTTTCACCAGGTTGACATGTCTTTTTAGGTCTGCATGGTGATACTTCTAGTATGCCCTCCTGCACACATCGTTGAACCAAGGTTGATCCCCAATGCTAATGGTAGTGTGAGGCTATACTGGGCCATTAGATTGCAGATTATGGTAGGCTACAATTCTGCTGCTGTTGATGGCTCATTGCAGTTGTTTTTTATTCTATATGGGACCCCTGGATTTGCCTGGATCTGTAATCAAGTGAACACAGCAACCATTTTACATCAGTATTTTTGCTGTTTAAAAACTATCTTAGTCCATGAAAGGTTTAGCATATAACAATCAGATGATGGACTTGAAAATGTGATTGT